AGGGGAAAATTTTTCACATTTAAGTAATACATTGGTTTTGTTTTTATTTTTCCAGCTGCATCTGAAGCAAAAGTAGGTGAGGGGAAGGAAACATAGTCTCAGACCCTCAGACTCTATCACTAGCATCACTTAGGAATCTTCCCCACACCCAGGACCTCACTCCTTGGCCTCCAGATATCTAACTGCTTTGCATTGATATTCCATCCCTGTCGCTGCCTTCACTGCACCCCCAAACGTCCCCCTCCACAACCAACAAGCTCCCCAGTCTTTTCTCTTGCTCCAGTCCCCACTTGCCCCCTCTATAGCCATCCTACTAATTTCATATGCTCAGTCCCTCCTCAACCCAGCTGCCCCAATTCACCCATTTTTCCATCATCTAGGAGTTCCCGTTATTCAAACTTTTGTCCAACTCCCTCCCCAAAGGCAGGCTGCCCCCACTTTCCAGCTGCCTGAGGCTACCAAAGCCTCCAGGCTCCGTAAGGATATTTATGGACAATCGCTTCTGAAAACCTCCAAGGCACTAAATTGCACCTACCAAAGATACCACTTTGACTCAACTTCTCTAATGCTGCAAAGTACGCCTGGCCACAAAGATGAATGTCTCTGCTCTTCCAGGGTCAGTGACTCATGGGGTTTTATCAGCGTGGGCCGGGGAAGAGGTAATGGAGAAACAGACCCAGGGAGTCCTTTCCCCCTCCCAGCCGTCTCCAATCCCCTCTCCTCTGGTGCAAACACTATCCCCAGACCCTGGGCACCAAGGTTTATTTTTATCTGTTTATTTTGCAATTAACAAAGAGAAGGAGCCTCTTTTTGATGTGCTGGTTCAGGGGTTCAATGTGTCTAGCTACCTTGACCCTTTACCAGCCTCCGACGTCGCGGCACGGCTGCCCAACTGGGAAAGATTTATACTTATTTTTATATAATGGAAAACTCATTGCTGGACATCAAGTTACTCACTTTGATTTGTTTTCTTTGGAAGAAGCGGCCGGCGGCGGCAGCACCCCAAGCTGGGTCATTAACATGGCAGCCACAGCAACAAAGACCTTTACAGCCGCTGCCTGTAAACCGTGGATAAAGTTCAAGCATTTATTCTGTTTGAGGCCTCCCAGTGTCTATAAAAGCCCAGCACGATTATATGATCAGTGTCAAGACCCACTTTCCCCTCTTTGTGCTCCGGGGTGCATTTCCTTGCTCTGTCCCTCCGTGTTGCCACCGCAGCTGCTCCGGCTTTAATAGCAGCCCACGACACACCCTATTGGAGGGTTCCTCGGGCTTTGTTTTAAACATGGTTTTTGCTTGTGTTAACTACCGCCTGGCTCTCTGACACCCGTGAATGGGGCTATGCGGGGCTGTCAATCAACAACAATAATAATGCCATCTGGGTTTGAATAATACTAATGAGAAGAAGAAGAAGAGGGATACTGTGTATTAACACAGCACCTTTGTCCCAGAAGCTCAGAGGGCGTTCAAGATAATAATTCATGCATGCTCCAAGCACTGCTTGGCGGTAGATATTATGATCCCTCGGCGGGGTACTGGGACACAGAGAGGGCAAGTGACTGGCCCCAAGGTCACACAGTAAGTCAGAGATGGCATAAAACTTAGTGGCTCTGAATCCCCCAAAGCACTGGCTTGGCGGGGTCACACTGAACTATAACTTTCTGTGCATCTGTTTTTAAAATCTAGCTGGAAGAAGAGCTAAAGCATCTGGGTGTTCCTTACCTATGTGATGAAGAAAAGCAGGAAATAGAAAGAGTGTAGGGGGATGGAGGAGAGCCCTCAAAATTGGACAGGCCACACAGGCCAGGTGCAAGAGAGGCCAAGGTGACGAGATCCATAGAGGCATCCGGGATTTCTGTGGGGGCAGGAGGATGGGGGGAGCCTGGGAAAGCAGAATGAATAAAGAAGAAAGAGAGATCTTCACGTGGGTGAGAAAGTGAGCTCATCTCAGAGTGAGAAAGCTTTCAGAAGGTCAAATGAAGGGCAGCAACCAGCTAGAAAGAAGGATACTGCCGAAAACATCAAGAATTTCTCCTCCTGGTCTAAAATCCCATTTTTCACTGTGCACATCACACCCCGGATTCCTAACTCTCCCTTCTAAAGGCCCTTAGCACCCTGGGGTGGGGGCGGTTCCAACCTGACTGGAACCTGATTCACATCAAATCAGGTTCAATTCATGTCAAATCATCTTCCCCAAGTTCTCACTTCTTACCTGTACAAAACTGATTAATGACATTATCTCATGGTAATACCTATCTCTTGGGTCACCTAGCATATGTCAAGAACTTCCAAATTGATTTTTTTTAAGATTTATTTATTTATGCATACAAGAGCTGGGGTACAGGCCAGAGATGCGGGGGGTGAGAGATTCCACCAGAGACAGAGTGGGGAACAGAACAGGCAGACTGACTGAAATACACTGTTGAGGGGAGCAGCGGGTGAGACAGAAGAGGTCTGCCCCGCCCTGGCCAGCCGGGGATCGAACTCTTGCTGCAGAGGCTGTGGATTGCTTCATAGTGTGGTGCTTAACCCCTTGCACCACCAGGGAGGCCCCCAAATTGATTTTAAATTCTTCCTGATATACATTATTGGATTGTTATAAGGAGTAAATAAACAAACATATGAACTGCTTAGAATAGTGCATGATGCATAAGAACTCCTCGATAAACAGTAGCCATTATTATCATGAGGAGTAATAGCATTGTTTTTGCCATCTGCTCCTCTTCCTTCTCTTGTCCCTCCTCCTCCTCCTTACCCTTCTCCACTTCCCTCTCTTCCTCCTCCTCAGATTCTTCCTCCTCCTCTGGGTTTGCTGGCCACTTACTCCTGGACAGATAAGGAATAAAACAAACACCATAAAGGAAGTGCTTAATTGTATAAGAACATATAATTAGGCCACCCGTGGACTCCTCTCCTTGTCTACACTTTGCTGCACCCCACAGGCTAGCCCTTATTGGTTTTGTCAATATATGACGGAGGGGTACTCAGGGATTGCAAACTATTAAGGGGCCCATGCTCCAAAAGGGATTTTTCCACCTGTGTGCACAAAGGCAAAAGAAGCAAGTTCTTAGTGTGAAAGATTTCTAATAGAGTTTGTGTGGAGGGAATGGGGTGGGGGGAGAGAGAGAGAGAGAGAGAGAAAGGATATTACTAATAAAACTCCAAAAATTACCCATCCCTCCCCTCATCTCTCATGACCAAATGCCCAGACAAATAAGCTTAGTTGGAAGAAGGGACACTGAGAGCCAAAATCTTGCCACAAGTCAAAAGTACCTTCTGACCGGAAACCACAAAAAAATGGGTATACAGTTCCCAGAAAGCTGGTACAGAAGGAGAGAGTTAAAATTCAAAATATGACACATAAAAATAATGGCTGCTATTGTTTCAGCCCAGGACCAGGAGCGGAATCCCCTATGTGCCTCTCACCCACATGTCTCCTTCAAATCTCTCTTCCAAGTGTCTCTGCATGCCCCTTCCCCACTTGCCTCCTCCAAGTCCCCTCCTAACAGTTCCAGAGTACGAGTTGGGTCACAGAAGCAAGAACATGGACCAGCCTTCTTTCTGTGTTATATGAGTCCACCTAACCACTCAACTCTACCCTTGGTTGCTTATATACTAGCTTTCCTGCTCAAAAAGTCCAGTTCATGGCGTGCTGGTACTTGTAGTCCTTGGTACCTGAGATCTCTGCTGTATGAGATGAGGGTGGAATCTGTAAAACCATTAGGGGGTGAATTTTTCCTCTTAACAGTCTCACTTGCCACTTGTGTTCATTTTATCTCACCCAATAAGCTCTAAATAAACACAATAAAATACCAAATATGCCCTAACTCCTACAGCATGAGTGTTCCACTTGAGAAGCAGCTTTTGATGCATGTTATCTTTCCATGTTTTCTAGAACACTTGCCATGTGCTGGTCTTGAGCTGAGAGACTCCTAGGATTAATAGGGAAGGTTCTTGCCATGGGAGAATATACAGTTAACCTTTGAACAACACAGGGGTCAAGAGTCCTGATGGCTCAAGTAGCCTAAAATCCTCTATAACTTGACTCCCCCAAAACTTGACTACTAATAACTTGATGATCACCGAAGTCTTACTGAGAACACACACAGTTGATTAACACATATTTTGTATAACATGCTCTGTTTTTACAGTAAAGTACACAAATGAAAAGAAATGTTATTAATAAAATCAGAAGAGGATCTTCTTATTGAGTGGATTGAGGGGGAGGAGGAAGTGGAGGGACTGTAAATCTGTCCATATATGACTGGACCCACAAAGTTCAAATTTGTGTTGTTTCAGAGTCAATTGTGTTTCTGCGGTAGGAGAAATCAGTCATATGAGAATAGTTGACAAATCTTAGAATTTCGCAGAATCACATGGAGGACTTGGTAACACAGATTTCAGTTAAAATGACTTAGAATGTATCTAAATTTGACTTTTCCAGTGGAATTTTTGAGACTTGAAAGTAACATGATCAAGTGTTTACTTTAGAAATCAGCCTTGTAACACTGCAGAGGACAGAAAAGACTGAGGAGACAATGAAGTTGAATGATGAAGAAGAAATGAATTCTGAAGTTGTTATAATATGCTAGGAAAAAGAGAAAATTACTGAAATTATTAAAAAGGGAAACGATTGATTGAAATTGAAAGTCTTCAAAACCTCTCATGAATTCATTCAATTCCCAGTTCACTCTCCCTTGCTGAGTCTTTAATACTTGGTCTGACACCTTCTGCCCTTTAAGTTCCTTATTTACGGTATCCTCTGTCTTTTGTTTTTGTCCCTGACCCAGTTTAGAGGCACTTTATCACTGGGGCTAAGTCTGAGGCACTCTCTAGTTTCCAAGGGAAGCATTCTTTGGCAATAAGCAAACAGATTTACATTCCTCCCCAGACCTTCCCTGCAGGAGAGCCCTGCTTTCACGTCTCCATACGCTGAAGTAAATCTTCCTAAGGGTCTTGACTGCGAGTTTGATATGTTGGTTCTTGGCTTCCCTTTCTAGATTGTGAGCTTCCTGAGGACGGAGCCTACATCTGCCTGCACGTTTGAGTCCCTTTTTAGTGTGCTGCCAGACACAGTGGGAGCTTAAGAAGTCTTTAAAATCAACAAAAAACTACGAACCAGAGACACTTTTAGGGGGGCGGGGGTGGGAGGGGAGGGATTGGGGTCAGAATGGGGGGGCTGCAATTGTATGGGTAATATAAAAATAAAATTTATTATTAAAAAAAAAAGAAGTCTTTATTGAAAACACATAAAGGCAAATGTGATTGAAAGTATGTAATACTTCTCATGTACTCAAAGATGGAGTTGCCACATCATAAGCAGCTATCTTGGTGCAAGTATCTAGGCTGATGGGATTTCTCTTTCAGGCACAATTCTTTATATCCGCTTAAGAACACAGTATGCATGAAGTCTTATTTCCAAAATAAGACATCATCACATCATTAGCAGAGCAGTCCTTAATATAGTTTTATATGCCAATTATACCTCAATTTAAAAAAGTGGGGGTGAAGAGGCAGTAGGATCAAAACAAGGGGGGTGAGAATTGTATGGGGACTATAACCAAGATGAAAATGCATACATTGTGCAAAAATGAAAAATGATAAAAATATATAAAATTAAAAAATTTTAAAAATAAAGGGTTGAGATTAAAAAATAAAAATAAACAAAAAAAGTGTAGTCTTCAAAAAAATACATCAGTTCCACCTGCCTTGCCTCCCGACTCCTTCCTCCCTACTTCCCATTTCTTCCTCTTTCTCCCTCCACATGATGACAGCACATGAAGCATTTATATCAGAACTAAGGGAAACCCTTTCTTTTTTTTTCATTTTACGTATATTTTACATCATTTTTCATTTTTGCACAATGTATGCATTTTCATCTTGGTTATAGTCCCCATACAATTCCCACCCACCTTGTTTTGATCCTACTCCCTCCACCCCGCACCCCGGTAGTGTGTCTCTGGTTTATACTTACTGGTTGATTTTGATTTTTACTTCATTATAATCAGTCTTTTTCCTGGTCCCTTATTTAGGTTTCCTAAATTCCTGCTATGAATGAGACCACCCATCCAACATTTTTCTTTTTCTTTCTGGCTTATTTCCCTGAGCATGATCCCTTCCAGCTCCATGCATGTTGCTGCAAATTGCATGAGTTTATCTTTTTTGATTGCTGAGTAATATTCCATTGTGTATCTGTACCACATATTTCTTGACCCAGTCATCTATTTGGGGGCATTTCGGTTGGGAAAACCCTTTCTTATCCTTACAAAGTTCAAAATCCGATGAACGATATGTAAGCACCCAAAATTTAATTTTACAAATTGAATTTTGTCTGAGACTAGGATAAGGCACCACCAACAAAGTGAGTCCTTGTGGAGAAACAGGAAAGGGGTCCCGCTCTTGGTATGAGAATGGGCAATATGCGAGTCAGCCCTCAGTGGGCAGGTAGCATTTCCAGTATGAGGTTTTTATTTTTTATTTTTTGGGAACGACATAGCCCCAGAGCGATTGTGGTGAGCTCAGGGAACGGTAAGCGACCACTAGTGTTTCTGATGAGTCTTGGAGAGAGGGGAAGAGGTAACAATGATTTTGTAAAACCACAGACATTGGATTCTGCTTGCAGGCAAAGGTAGAGACAAGTTTCTGGAATAGTTACACATACCCTAAATCTAGTTTTGTTTTTTTTTTTTTAAAAAAAAGATTTATTTTATTTATTTATACATACAAGAGCTGGGATATAGGCCAGAGGTGTGGGGGGGGGGGCATGAAAGAATTCACCAGAGACAGAGTGGGGAGCAGAACAGACAGACTGACTGAAATACACTGCTGAGGGGAGCAGCGGGCGAGTCAGGAGAGGTCTGCTGCACCATGTGGGTCAGCTTCCCGGCCAGGAATTGAACTCGTGCTGCAGTGGCTGGTGATAGCATCATAGGGCTGAGACTTAACCCCTTTCACCATGAGGGAGGCCCCGTTAAATCTGGTTTTGATGAGCTAGTGCTGGCTCAGACAGTTAGCAAACATCTGCCCTTGGCCTATGGCCCCTGGAAGTTTCTCCCCATGGCTGCAGAGGAAAGGAGCAGGGAGAGACACTGGATGCTTCCTCTGTGGCCTGGTACTGGCCTTGATCTGGGTTAGAGGTGGAATTGTTTGTCCTTACAAAGTTTTCCTGAGAAAGGCTGGTCCCTGAAAATCCTCTCTCCCTTCCCTTCACCCCACGGGGTGTCTTTACTTTCTGCTGGAGATCGAGCTAAAAGGTCTTTGAACCTCTCTGATGGATTGACCACCAGAACGAGCAGAGTCCCAGAGCGCCCGGCCCCTTCCCTGGCAGCCCAGGCTGGCCCATTCCTCACCGTGTCACGGATTTTCCTGGAGGGAAACGGCGGATGCCACACGGTCATGACTTGAAAAGATTCCATGCTGTCTGCACAAACAGAGACTGGAGCCTCTGGGAACAGTCTAGCTCTCACCTCTCTCCCAGAGAGCCTCCCTTCCCTGACCCGTGCGAACAGGCCAAGAATTGTTGCTCTCCCTTCTACACAGTGATGCACTGTGGCACTGAGGCTTGGGGTTTTTGCCTTAAAAATACTAAATCTCTCCATCTCATCTCCACATTGGACATGCTTGTCTCTGAGGACCTTTCCTACCCAGACAGCCCGGGAGGCACAGACAAGAGGATTTCTTGGGAGGGCCCTGACCTCACTGCAAGCACCGAGGCATCGCCCGTGTGGTCTGAGAACAGGGCAAGCCAACGACACCAGCCCCACACCTCGTCCCCCACCCCGCCCCACACAGAATGAACCATTCACCACGCGCTCACTCTCTGCCTTCCCATCCTTCTGCCCAGAGGCACGTCCTCCCCTGCTCTGCTCTGCTTGGGAACTCTATTCATCATTCAGTGCTCACACTTAAGGGTGCTTGTGCTGGGAAGGCTTCCCTAGAGAGTCTTCGTTTTCTCCTACTCTGTGCTCTTGGATATGCCTCAGGGATAGTGCTGATGAGGCCGAATTGTGGTTGTTTGTTCAGATGCCACTTCTCCAACTATACTATAAGCTTTCAAGGGAGACATAATGAGGCCTCAATGGACAGTTGCATGGGTTGTGCACTGTTCAATGGGATGGGGTGCCAGTCACACTGTAAATAAACCTGATACAATTCTAGGCAGTAGTTTTAAGGATATTTAGATCTTATTTTTAGAAGGATCTGGCAACGGAAAATTTGTTTGTTCAGCCTAATATAAGCCCACTGTTTGGATTTTTGTTCCTCCTACTCTGGGTTCCACAAAAGAGGGGACAATTACTAGTTAGACCAATAGTCTTACAGTGAGAAAATTGCCAGCTCGCCTGGGAGACAGCACACTGGCCTGAGAGGGAACTGAATGCCCTCTGAGACTTTCAAACAGATAATGACTGGTCGAGGAAGTTCAAAGGGGTTTCATCTCAAGGGTCAGATAAGATGAAGAGATAACTTTAGTACTTTGGTGACTCTCTGAAGCACTAAACTGAGAAGTCTACTTAGCAACAGCCAAACTCAGTAGGGAAAACATCCTGATGGACTTGTGGCCTGTTGTCTGCAGCAGTGGGATGGAGGCATGAGCACCGCCATTCTAGTGTGGTTCTGGACTCGTCACATGAGCTGTGGGTTCACACGACATAGAGTGCCTTTCTTATCCTGACTCCGGGGGCCTATGAGTGGTACCTGTATTTTTGCCCTTGTGAACCAGGCTCAGTTCTACTTAATAAACTTTCCCATCCACATAATGAGATCATTTTCTTTTAGGATTTTGGAAAGATCAAGTAGAAGTTCAAGGGGGCTTTTCATAAAAGAAAAGGACTATCTGGGACACAGAGATGCCCAGGCATCTTATCAAACAATATTGGATATCACCCCATCTTTGCTCTGACAGCCATGTTTTTCTCTGTCAGCCACATGCAGCCCCCCTGCTCCCACTCTGGCCGAGATTAGGAAGAAGTGAAGCTGGGAGATGAGGAGAACGCCTCTGAAAGGCAGTTATGGTAACAACCGTATTTGTTATGACTTGAAACTCAGTAGTGGGGTGTCCAAGGGCAGGGAAAAGGTTCAGGTTTGCCCTATTTCACTGGAAAGAGACCTAGAGGGACAGGGACAGGATCCCGGGCTCTGAGACCACACTGCCTGGCTGCACCCCAGTCTCTCCGTCCATTAGCGATGTGACAGTGGCAAATTGCTTGACTTGACTGTTCAGCCTCCTTGTCTATAAAAAGGCGCTGATAGTCACACTTACCTCACAGAATCGTTAGGATTAAGTGAGTTAATAAATATGAAGTGCTCAGAACTGAGCCTGGCTCACGGGAAGTTTCCATGGTTACTGCTGCTATTGCAGTCACCATGATCACATTTTATTGCTCCTCCAGCCCAGCCAGGAGGGAAAGTGGACTTGCAGCAGAAACACTTGAGAGCAGCCCAAGGCCACACAGTAGACCCATGAGTCCCTTCCTCGATCCAATTCCATGCTCCCTCCTCTCAGCAAGAGGCTAGCTTTCCCTGGGAGGGCTAAAGCTGTCATAACCTCACCTTGGAGTCCTTTTTCTCTCTGAAGAAGTGAATGATTAATTGCCTCGATATGCTGGACACTCAGCTACAAACTTCTCTTCATCCACAGTGTCAGGCCCTCTGTCTTGGTTGCCAGCCAATTAATGAAAGGCCCTAGGGGCATTTGCACCTACTGGTTTTTCAAATCCCGGGACAATTTTATGAAACATTGTGTTCATTAATTTAATTAGTATTTCTTTAGCGTACGCTGCTTGATCTTATGTTAAGTGTGAGAGCACAACCTTGGTGGGAATCAGAGGGAATTCTGGTCCGTTGCTCATATATCGACATTTACTGATCCCTGTGCCTGAAATGCCAGTTCCTCCTTTGCCTACCTGTCAAGCTCCTATTCATCCTTCAAAGCCCAGAAAACTCTAACTTTTTCCATGAAGCTTATCATCCCCCAACCTCTAAGTAGAGTCAGCAATTTTCTTGTAAATTATTGTTGCCTATAATAAACTTTCTGACATTATGCTCTAATTGCTTCCTATACTGTAAGCATCTTTAAGGCAAGAAAATCCACATTTGCCTTAGAATACCCAGCACCTGCCATATAACCTT